TTTATCCTACCTTATCAGATTATTTGAAGTTAATTTCTTATAGGTAGCAAGTATTTGCATTATAACATCATAAAAATGGTTGTGACCAAATGACTTACCTTAATTTTATATATTTTATACATTTAGTAAATGTATATTGACACATGTTCATTTAGATCCATCATTTTTATATTCATTTTTTAAATTTTGCTTTTCCTTTATCTGGGTTTTTTTTTTCTCCCTTTTTTGAATTATTTTAACTTTTTTTTTAAAAAATTCTATTCTTTTGCTACTGTGATTTTTTTGCTATTTATCTTTGTATTTTGTTAGTGTTTTGTCTACTGTTTACAATACATATGCATACCTTTTCACAGCCTACATAGAATCAATATTTTACAATTTTAAGTACAGTATAGAAACCTTGCTACCATATAGGTCCCATTACCTTATATAATATATCACATGCTTTTTAGCTGTCTCATATATATTATATTTACATACACTGACAACCATATCAATGTTATTTTCTTCATATTTTTGCTGTCCATCACCAAACATACTTTGGAGAATTAAATAGAAGAATAATGTATTGTATTTCTCAAAAGTTACTATTTTTGTTACTTTTTCCTTATTCTTGCTGTCTTAACTTTCTTTTTTTTTAATGATTAAAATATAGTTTAGTAAATACATACATCAGTAACATATTTATTATTCAAGTATTATGTACTATACATAATTGCACGTGTTAGACTTTCATAGGGCTGCCAGCATAGTGGGTTGGTTTATACCAGCATCACCATAAACAGGTGAGTAATGCATTGCTCTATGACTTTATGGCAGCTATGACATCAGTAGGTGATAGGAATTTTTCAGCTCCATTATAATCTTATGGGGCCACCTTTGTATATGTGGTTTGCCATTGACTGAAATGTTATTGACTGTATATACATACACGCATATACATATATATACACATGACACACAATTTTGTCACTTGTGTTCACATACATATCTTCTCTACATTGCCACACCTTTGCTGTAAATTAACTTTCTATTCTTATTCTTTTTTTCTGACTGAGAACAGTCTTCAGAAATTCTTGTAATAATCTGCCGTCATTATTGCTAAATTTGGGGAAAATTTTAGTTATTTTTCTTAAAAGAGTTTTTCATTTTTCCCTTCCCCTCTCCTTCTGAAACCCCAATGACATGAAAGTCAAATCTTTTGCTATTGTCACACAGATTTTTAAAGCTGGTTTTATCTTTGAAATTCTTTTTCTCTGACATATCCATTAACCTATCAAGTCATCTAGTACATTCTCATTATAATATTGCATTTTTCTATTTTTAAAAATTTCAACTGGTTCCTCTTAACAGCTTCTTTTAAATACTTTTCGTTTGTGCAGATGCATTCTTATTTATATTGTTACAGCCGTGCTCCAATTACTCATTGGAGGACTTTTATAATTGCTTTAAAGTCTTTGATTGATAATTCCAACATCTTTGCCATTTCATCATTAGGGATTGATACTTGAAAATATTTGTACAAGTTGGCAATCGTTTTCTCTGACTCTTTCTATGCTGAGCACCTTTAAATTTTATCCTGTATATTTTGGATATCATCTTATAAAACTATGGGTCTTGTTTAGTGTTGGTATTTTTTATTTGGTAGGTAACCAACTGGCCTAGATTCAGCAAAAATTTTTAACCCACTATCTGCAGGTTATGACTCCAAGATTGAGCTCAGTTTTTAAAGCCTTTTCTGTGCAACTCAGATCTTTTTCATGGGTGCATCTCCCCGTGTTCAATCTGGGACATGGTGGGATGTCTGCCCTTTAGCTCAGTTCTTAGAGTCTTTGGCATGCTAACTATGCATGCAGACTCCTGCATGAGCAGTTCATAAATGAGCCAGTAGCTCATCGATGACTCCACAGGGTTGCAGTCACGAGCTCCTCCATCTCTCTGATGTCCAAGTACTCTCCGATTTCCTGAGGCTCCCCTTTCTGCTCTTTCAGCCCCAAAACTGAGGTTTCACTTATCCTTCTCTGCCATACTCCCTACAACTGCACTCACACCTAGCCCCACACAGTGAGAAAACAGAGGCAAGGTAAGCATCAGAGGTCACCCCACTCTCCTGAACCCCACGTCCTCTGACTGGAGCATTTCACATGCCACACACATCATGGCAGGGTCCCTGCCAAAGGCCACTCACTTCCTTAATCCCTATACCCATAAGTTTCCTCCTGTGGCTCTCCAAGTATGCTTACTTCCGGATTTTAAGATGCCTTGATCCCAGGCTGGAAAACCAGGAAGAAAAGCAGAGCATTAAACCTCTACCCAGCTTGATAGTATTTTGCATCCTGTTATTCTTCAATCCACCTGCTGCTATTTACTTTACAGAGTCTTCATATAACAGTTTCAAGAATACCTTCCAAGTTTATACATAAATTCAGTGGAAAAGTCTGGGTGAAGTGGACCTACCCCTTTCTCTCAGAACCAGAATTCTAAACATTACTTTGGAGAAGTACTTTCTAATTTGTGAATGCTAAGTGTGCATGTACTGTGTCAAACACAAACCTAGCAAGTTAGAGTGACTGCAACTAACCTGTAAAAAATTTCATGTAGCTACAAAGTCAAAATCATTGTTCAACAAAATTTTTCTCGTACTGGCATACTATAGGACATTGTAAGTCGAGTCTTATTCCTGTTGCTAGAAATGAGAACGCTAAATAGGTCTGCTTAGTTCAAATTCTCATGAAAATGAAGCCATTAACAGAGACATTTAAATCATGTTCTTAGTCTTACTTAGTGTCACTTTAAAAGAATTTCTACAGTATTTGTTCATACTTTTATTTCTTATGTCTTTATATAAAATCATACATGATAAATACCTAAATACCTTAGAGATCTTGGTTCCATGGAAATATTTTCATTTCCTACAGAATCTACTTTCTTCATTTCATTAGAAAATATAAACTGCATAAATATTGTCAATATTTTCTTGACTTCTAGAAAATATACTGCTGAAGTTAGAACTAACTTAAAACACATAATAACCTAATCTGATTTATGATTTTAGTATTGGCACCCTCCACTTATATAATATAAAATGACATAATTAAATTTACGTTGTTATATGCTAATGTATGTACATTTAATTTTTCCGAAGTCCTTTAAAAAGTTCTACTAAATATACACAGTAAGATATAGATATAAATAAAGCTGCCAGGAAATTTCCATTTTTCCAATTTTTACACACAACTGTACAATGAACCAAAAAAGATCCATTCAAATGCAGACATTGCATTATATTTACTTATAACTTTCTTTTCTCATGAAAATTTCAATTAAACATTTTTATCTATATTTTTTTATTCGGTCTTAATTTTGCATATATTAACATCTAAACCCATTGTACTTTCTTTTCTTGAGACAGGTTCTCACTTTGTTACTCAGGCTGAAGTGCAGTGGTGCAATTATGGCTCACTATAAAACCTTGAATTTCTGATCTCTGGCTCTCCTCCTGCCTCCCTGAGTAGCTGGGACTACAGGTCAAGGCAGTATGCTTGCCTAACTTCTTTATTTTTTGTAGCAACCAGAGTATCTCTGTGTTGCCCAGGCTGGTCTCAAAGTCCTGGCCTCAAGCAATCCTCCCACCTCCACCTCTCAAAGAGCTGAGATTACAGATGTGAGCCACTGCACTCCACCTTCATTATACTTTTTACCACAGTACTTGTTTATTTAAAAGCTGAAACATGAGCCCTTGCAATTCATACAGTCATGTAGTCTCCTTGAGAATACATATACAATTTTGGAAAAGCATAAAAAATATCCAAAGAACTCCTAATTAGTCCCCTAGAGAATCATTAGAATAAACAAAAGTATAGAAATTTAATCTCACAGGTATCATTTAACAGAATCCTAATAAAATGTTACGCATTTTTCAATACTATTGTAAAGTGAACACAGATGAGTTATTTGCCTTATAATGAGGGGATCAGCATGAGCAGGATGTTTAAATAAACATTACATCAAAATGAATTGTATTCACACAGGGTGACTACCCAACTCTATTCTGATTACATTTACTTCGCCTCTCTCTTTGGGCCTTATTTGTGAAATTTCTGCCCAGTACAATGATGCATTTCCACTTTTATTTTTAAAAGCGAAGTCCAGCTTAAGTGATCTGCAGTGGAGATTTGATAATCAATTCTTTACATTTTAAACATATTCTCCAGCAAAGTCTCTCATGGCAAGCAATCAATCTCTAAAATGCCAGGTTCCATTTCTATAATGTCCTTAAACATAGAGACTATTTATGAGAACTGCAGAGGGAACCCTGGGAATGTGGATGTGTGTGCTGTGTGAGATTGGTGGAAGGGACTGAGGTTACTGAAATGGTGTCAATGATTGGTCCACTCCACAGACTTCCTTTATCAGTGGAGATATGCTGCTGCCTAAATTGATCAGTGGTTCCCATGACAGCCAATCTAGATAATTTGTGTCTTTCACAGCAGGAATTTTAGGGATCAAATCATTTTAAAAATTACCTAGTTTCCTATTCCAAAATTATCACCTCACATACTTGTAGTTAGAAAGTGGAAATTGCGTCTTTATGAAAAAATATTGAAAATGCTTTCCCACAGAAATATTAGCATGTCAAATTTTATGCACATGTACTCCTCAGAGGATTTTGTTTTCCAACCACATCTACACAAAATTGAATTTTAAAGTGAGTATTTGGTTTCTGAAGATTTTTACAAAGGTAGACAATGTTTATTACTTGTGAAGAGAATAAACAGGCAAATTATACAGAAATGTGAAATGGAAAACATTTTTAATACTTTTGGTATTTCCTTATACATTCCCATGGCTATTTTATGAATTGTTGTCCCTGTGCATGAGATCGAACCAGGCTGCTTCCAACTCATCTAAACTCCTATGAGCTGTAGTTCATTCTGTTATTCAGAAATATAATCACATAGTTAATTAGAGTATTAGAGTAGTAATTAGAGGGATTTTTTTTTTTCCAAGGAAGAAATACCTTTATTAGGAGTCTAGGCATGTCAGAAAAACCCAGTTCAGTTACAGAGAAGAGAGGCAAATATTGGTACAGAGGAAGAATCCAAGTGTGAAAATAAAACCTCCATCTAAGTATCCTAACAGAAATGCTACTGAGTTTAGCCAAGGTGAAACTTCTGAAAGCTCCTAGTGAAATGAGATTTTTGCGTAAAGAGAGAGCTCTCCAGCACTGCTGCATCTGAGCTTCATATAAAGTTATGGGTCTGGGCTAGCAGTAGAGGAAGAGATAAAGGGGATTTCTCATCACCCAAGCAAAGTCATCTGTGTTCAAGTGAGAGAAGAGTCTTAGGTTTTTGGACAGAGTAAACTGGGGCAGCAGAGGGAAAACGGCTGAAGAAGCACAATGTCTAGGCCATGTGTGGCACAATGAGGGGCTGTCTGTGCAGTCTGGTGTGAGTGCATTTCCAGCAGGTCTTGGAAAACACTGGCATTCCTTCCTGAGGCCATTTTGGTTCCATTCTGACTTCATTCAGAGCAGAACTGCCAATGTCCAGCGCCAAGTCCTGGATCATAATTGGCTGAGTTCAATGGAGTGGCCACCCTGTGACACCTGCACCTCTTCCTTTCTGGAGCAGTCACTTTTCTCAGACCAAGTGAGATCTTACCCAGTAGGGGCCCAATCTAGAAATCACTCCCACCTTCATATGAGCACCAGGTGGAGAGAATCCTTCTCATGAGTCAAAGCTTTAGATCTCAATCCTCAGATGACGTTTCTTGGACAGAAGATCAGTCTGATGTTATCTGTGTCAAGAGTAGCTGGCACTGCCTGTGGATAATGGGCCCAAGCGATGTGATGCTGTAACTCTCCCAAAGAAGACCTCTCTATTTTCACAGGCAGGAAAGGAAGAAATGAGGCAGGTTTCAGGGTAGTTAATGCCACTTAATTCTTCCATCGAATTTGCGAGCTGCTGAGAAGAGCGTCAATCTTTTCCTCCTCTGCTGATCCTTTATCTACCTTACTCCAGTATGCTAGCAACTGTTGACGATCCTTCAGGTCTCGGCAGGTATCAATGATGACATCATGGCACTTGAACTTAGTGGCTAAGTTCAACTTTGTGTCCACATCTTCCACCAGTTTGACATACTCCTGTAATATCTGCACAAGAGCATTGTTCTTGTGCAAAATTTAGACAACTCGATGGAAGCCAATGGGTGCTCTCTTCTTGGTACAACCCAGCCAGTTCTTTGTGGTGAATAGGGCATCTACATCATTCCAGGCTCGAAGCTCGGCACGAGCAGCCGGGGCTGTCAGCACATACTGTTTGTCTGGATCTTAAATGTCTTCTTCAGGGTTACAAAGCAACATCCACTCCTTGTAGTAACCCTGAAAACTACTTTCACAAAACACTGACCAATTTATATCTACCTTAAATGTCTTCTTCAGGTTGACAGGACTGCTGAATGTCCCCTCAGCCTCCATGTAGTGATAGGAGCAGGAGTAGAAAAGTGTTGTCACTAGTGGCATGTTGAGGATGGAAGCTTTGCGGGGGGTGCTTTCTGAAGATCTCAATCTGTCCTGCTGATTCTAAATGGCGATCATTTACCTCAATAATGATCTGACGTCCCAAGAGCATGTAATGGTCCTGTATGTGTGCAGAATCTTCTGCTGAAAATGGCAAACCAATACAGGTCTTAAGAAATTCTTTTCGTTTGTCAGGGTCCTCAATGTTCAAATGCTCTGATAATAAGATAGCGCAAGCTCTTCTGTTCTATCTAGGAACCTGAAGAGGTCTAACAGCAGCTTTTGATCCCCTATTTCCTTAAGGAAGTGGACAAGCTGTCTCAGGGCAATCTGTCGCACCTCCAGCTCTCGGAAGAGGATCTCTTTGCTCAGTGTCCTCTTCAGGAAAATCAGAACTGCAGTAATGACGTTTCCATCTTGCATGCTTACTGCCTTTTCTAGGAGTTGTAGCTTGTCCTGTAAGGAGCAGAATCTCTCTAGTGAGCAGACCTTGCCCTTCCGGAGGCGTTGCACTGTATCACTAGGGCTCCAATCATTGCTGTAATCCCTATACCCCCCTTTGGGTCTCCCCAGCTCTGGAGCATAACTTTTGGCAGATGTGTCTGACAGAGTATCAGAAAGGGACTGGAAACTTCCCAGTCTAGTTCTACCTCTAAAAAAGCTGCTCCGGGAGTAGGTAGAAGTAGGCTTGGGTAGTTGTGCATAGGAGGAGAAGCTGTTTCGGCTCTTTAGCTGTTCACACCCCTCATGGGTTGACCCGCTATTACCAGCAGTCTCTTTGATGGACCATGAGATAATTCCCACAAGTTCCCCAGTCCAGGTGACTCGCTCCAGGTCATCATCATCATCATCCACAAAGTCTCTGAGGCTGTTCACCACTAATAATTAGACTATTAGGTGACAATTCTAAATATTATAACTATTTCTAAATGTTTTGTGTCATCTATTACATTTAGGACATATAGGACATGTATTCTGCAAAATAATTTATAAGGAGATGATCTAAGACAAAATACTGTACCTTGAACACATGTCTTACCAGGAGTTCTTCTACATAGTATGAGTCAAAGTTTTGTTAAAACAATTTCCATGTTTCAGAACAAGTCTGGAAAACTGTGGGAAGAACAATCTGGCTACTGTTGCATTTGCATGTGTGGTCTTATAACCTGCAGGAGATAGACTATTCATGTGCCCGTGTTTCTTATTAGATCTCAGACTTTTGGCAAAAGAGAAAGGTGCATTTGAATGGCGTTTTCTGTGTGCCACTCAGATTTGCTTCAATATCTGATATCTGGTGTCATGCCTGAGTTCTAGAGCAAGAAAATTCCAAGGAGTCCAAAAGAGCATATGAATACACAAACAACAAAAATACAGATAAAAAGCCAATGAAACAATAAAATAAAAAATCCAAATGATGGCAAAAAAGAAGAAAAAAGAACAGATGGAAGATATAATTAAAAATAGGAATATGGTAGATTTAAATTTAACTACATTAACGATGACACTAATGTAGTGGGAATAAATACATCAACTAAAAGAGGTGGTCATTTAAATAATAAAGACAGATTCAAGTGCATGCTCCTCACCAGAAATTCACTACGGCATCAAAATACAAATAGGTTAAGCAAATCAGATGACAAAAGATGCAAAACACTAACAGCCCTCATAAAAGAAAGCCAAAATGGTAATATAAATATTTGACAAAATCCTTTTCAGAGAAAATAATTTTTCAGAGGTATATAATCAGATTTTATAATGATAAATGTGTCAATTCATTAAAAGAAAATAATATTTCTAAACATTTATGAACCTAATAACAGGTCTTCAAAATCCATGAAGCAAAAAACCAGTGCAACTACAAGAAGAAATAGATAAGTTCAAATTTATCATCAAAGATTTCCATACCTTCTCTCAACTATTGATAGAACATTTAGTAAGAAAATCAGTAAAAATATAGATGGCTAAAATAACTCTCCCAACTAATTTGATCTAATGTCATAGGATATCTCACTTAATAATATCAAAATATAAAAATCCTTTTCATGTTCAGGTGAGACATTTAGGAACATAGATGATTTCCTCAGTTATAAAATAACTCAATTAATTTAAAAGGATTCAATTCATACAAAATATATTCTCTTAGCATATTTGATTACATTAGAATTCAATAACAAAATGCTATCTTGTGGTGTGATCCTCAAAGTTTGACAAATAAATACACACTGCTAAATGACCTCATGGGTTAACAAAAAAAAAAAAAATCAAAGGAACTGTTAGAAAGTATTCTGAATTATATAAAAGTGAAAACATAATGTATCATCATTTGTGGCATGCTGCTAAGGCAGTATTTAGGGGGATATTTATAACAGCAAATGGCTACTTTAGGATACAAGAAACATAACAAATCTCATGTTTTATCTGAAAAACCTAGAAAAAGACAACTCAAGTTAAACTGAAAGCAAGTGAAAGAAAGAAAATATAATAATAAAGGTTACATCAGAAATCAACAAGATTGAAAACAGGAAAGCAAAACAGAAAATCAATGAAAAAACTTTGACTCACTGAAATGATCATTGTAATTACAAAACTTGTAGCACGACTGATATGGAAAGAGGAAGAAAAAAACACATCACCAATATCAGGAAGTGAAGAAATGATGTGAATGCTTATTTAAACAAAGAATAAACAAGTGATATGAACAACTTTTTTTTTTCCATTTAATAACTTGAATGAAATGAACAATTTAAAAAAAAACTGTAAAATTTGCTCAAAAAATAGAAAAATGATTAACACATATCTATTAAATAAATTGATTTAAATATGTACTTTTAAAACTTCCTATGAAGAAAACTATATGCACACATGACATCAATGTTAATTTGATCAGTACTTCAGGAAGAAATAATACCAATCTACGTAAATACTTCCAGAAAATTAAAGAAGTAGGAATAGTTCTCCATACATTCTATAAGGACAGTATTAACCCTAACACAAAAACAGCCAAAGAAAAAGTACAAGAAAAGAAACAAACAAAATAAAATTGGAAACCAGAATTCCTCATGAACAAAAATGTAATAATTATAAACTAAACTTGAGCAAATCAAGCTTATAAATAACAATTTTATAAATAACAAAATAATAAATAAAATAATACAATATTATCACCAAGTGGAATGTATTCCTGGAATGCATGGTTGGTTTCCCATTCTCAAATCATTGAATAAAATCCACTACATTCACAAACTGAAAAAGAAAAACAAATCCACAATGCTCTCTTTAGACACTGAACAAATAAAGCAATAAAATCCAGTATCTGTTCCAGATAAACTCTCAGCACTGGGAACAGATGGGAACTTCTTCAACTTGATAGGCAGCACTTATTAAAATCTTACAGCTAACCAGAAATATAATGTTCCAAAGCTAAATGTTTTCCCCAAGATCAGTAGTAACCAAGCATATTCTGCATGGCCACGTCTATTCAAAACATTGTAGTGGAGGTTGTATACAGCCCGAATAATAAAGCAAGAAAAAGAAAAGGAATACAGATTTAAAAAGTAAAACTCTCTTTCTTGAAGATAAACCTAATTATCTGTTTAAAATCAAATGGCCCATGATTGGTAGAACTAGGACTCTCATCCAGGTCTATTGGGCTATGCAGACCATTCAGTCAAACAACAGCAATACAGTGTCACTAAAATTGGATAATTATAATATGTAAGTGTAATGATGTGATCCACTTAAGTATAAAAGACAACATAGTTATTAAAAAAGACATAACAAAAGACTAAATGTATGAAATATTTAGCTAAATAAAGGTTGATATTAATTTGCCCTGTTTAAATGTAGAGCAATTTGTAATAAAATGACTTCACTTTGACTTAATTTTTAAACAGTCTTTTAAAAAATTAAGGCATAGTTAGCTTTAACATATAAAGAACTTGGAAGTAATCACTATATTATAAGAAACAAAAACCCTGAACAAACTGAAAAATGGTAGGTTTTCTTGAACTCATGAGAGAAACGAGATCAGAATAGACAGTGTATTAGTCCATTTTTACACTGCTCTAAAGAACTGCCCAAGACTGGGTAATTTAAAAAGGAAAGAGTTTTAACGGACTTACAGTTTCACATGGCTGGGGAGTCTTCAGGAAACTCACAATCATGGTGGAAGGTGAAGGGGAAGCAAGGCACCTTCTTCACAAAGCTGCAGGACGGAGAATGAATGCGGTAGGAACTACCAAACACATAAAACCATCAGACCTCGTCAGAACTCACTCACTATCACAAGAACAGCATGAGGAAACCACCCCATAATTCAATTACTTCCACGTGGTCTCTCCCTAGACATATGGGGATTATGGAGATTATATTTCAAGAAGAGATTTTGGGTGGGGATGCAGCTAAACCATACAAAACAGTAACCCTGAAATCTGGACAGATGTAAATACAGAGAATCCCAGCCAAGAGTAGCTGATCAGATGCAGAAGTTGCTGAAGCCATAAACTGGTGGGAACATTGCCATGTTAACTGTGAACTTTCTGGAGGCTAAGTGTGGACTCACTTGAGATTGGAGGCTCCTGGGGGGGTTGTCTTAGAAGTACATGCACATTTTCATGGGTTTTACTCCCAGGAACCCCACCAAGTTCCCCTGGTAAAAGCAAAAGAAGAACCCTATTCTGTTTCTGACAAGAGGAGAAAAAAATAAACTTTCTGAAATGCTCCTAGAGCATTATCTGTAATGATGGCACACTGTCCAAGGAAAAGGCATTGCCAGATACTTGCAAACATAGGGAAGTGCAGTTGTCTGACTCTAGCCTTTCTGTCTCAGCAAAGCAGAAGTGGGGGAGGTTAAGAAAAACTTCTGAAGTTCACAGCACAGGGACATGAGAAGCTAACAGGCTGAGATTTAACTGTAAGATAGCGACATGCTTCAACCACCCCCACTTCTGCCCCTCCATGCACACAAACCTTAATACCAGGTCAATGAGGCACCAATAAAATCAGGCATATAATCAATAAAATCAAGTGGAAAGAGGTGCAAGACGTGGACACTATTTAAGAAAGAATTATCAGAGAAACTTGAGGCAAGAGTTGAGACAAAAACAAGGAAAGAAGAGGAAACTGTTGCCTTAGCACCTACAGCTGTCATGAGCATTAAAAACAGCCCAATTCTAGCCAGATTACCGTAAAAGCTCACTCTAAAGGCCTATTTACCTTAGTTCCTATCATTCGATACACCACATGTCTGCATTTCAACAGAAAAACAATCAAACACAAATTTAATGTATGCCAAAAGGCAAGAAAAACCACAGTTTAAGAGACAAAGCAAACATCAATATCAGACTCAGATATAACAGATATTTGAGATTATCCATGTGTAGTGAAGAAACTGACCTTGTCCAAAGAGAGAGCTGGACTTTTTCTCCAGTAGCTGGGAGATTTTGAAACTTGTAAATCATTGGGATTTCTGAGTGAGAGCATTGTCATTGTTTCTCATGGAAGGCTCCTCAGGCATAGACTGTACCAACACTGAGACTCATGCTGGGTCCCTCAGATCATGTAGTATGAGTTTGACCTTTGGGAAAGGATGGGTGAAAAGCCAGACTGGCAATGCTCCATGCCTATGTGTAGTGTCACATGAAGATACCACAGGGAGGGAGAGAGTGTGTCCTGAAAACAATGAAATCCTTGCACTAGGGACACTCCTAGACTATACCCTATGCATTTCTTCCTTTGCCTCCTTTAAATTTGTGTCTCTGCCCTGTGGTAAACTTTATCTGTGAGTGTAATAGCTTTCAGTGAATTCTGTGAGTCTTTCTAATAAACCACGGCAGTGGAAGATGATTTGGGGAAACCTCTAACATTGCAGCTCATGTTC